CTGTTCATGAACTCAATTGGTATAAATTGGTTTGCCAAACCATTTTTTCCCCGACAATTAGCAGATAATTCTTGATAAAATGGGTTTAATTGGTAATTTACTCGGTGATTAACTCATGAAACCCAATCAAATAACAAGAGGGACATTATATTGGCAAAAGGCCATCTGTGTTAGGCTCTCCTTACTGTACAGCACGGTTCAGCTGTGATCTATGGGATGTATTGAGTTTGGTGACGGAATGGGCAGTAGACCTCGGTTGGGCTGATTTTTGGCAGGTTTATTACTTCCTCAAACAGCGTGAGATGTAACACCCGGCACACTGGAAAATAAGCCAAAAGTGGAACCAGTGAGGAGCTTAGCAATCCACATGATACCTACATGCTGTCCAAATCTGAGCTCAAAACAAGGGGGGAGCATCTTCAACATCTCCAAATGTGCTCAATCGATCCATAAGTGGTGCAGGGCTGACATACTTTTCTAGGCTGACCCTGGAGTTAGCATCACGAGGGCTCCCTCAACGAAAAGCAATGTTTTTTTCCACTGGACTTCGGAATATTGCAGAGAATAAGATCTTTGATAAACACACGTCTATGATGCTTACACATTTTGAGCTGCAATATACTAGTTTTTTACCTGTTTAAACGTAGGCTTCAAGAAGGGGGAATCAGATGTGGTTAATGCCAACTCATTTGAGGGTTAAAGGACTCATTCCTGCACCGCTCCATCAGCTTGATTTAAAAAGAAAACTCTGTAGAAATGGTCCTAATTGGCAATATGACTGACAAGGCTGTGGAGATCCATTGATGGAGGAGACCAAGGAAGGGGAAAAGCAACATGAAAGGATGATGGAGGAGAAAGCAGGAGGATAGACGGAGGGAGCTGACCTAGTTAGATAGGAAGAGAGAGCACCAGAGGAAGGTAGAGGGAAGGAGGTGAGAGGAGGGAGCTGTGTGCCTGCCTCCCCCGCGGGGTTGGGGACCCGCTGGGCCATCTGGCGGTCCTGTAATTGGGTTGGGACTTTGCACCTGAGCGGCACACCTACAGAGAGATGGTCGTAGCAAAAAATAGGAAGCAAGGAAGCGGCAGCATTTTGTCACACAGCGTAGTGAAGGTGGAATAACTGTGATGGGTTGGATCAATTCCCACTGTAGTGACTACTAAATGTATATCATTTATTTTCTAAAATAGGCATTTTGCCACACAGGGCTGCATGAACAAAATGTGTTAAATAAAAAGAAAAAAACGAATCCTACTATTTTGACTTATATTGCGATGACGAAATTGCTGATATGTAACAAATATGTTTTCTTTATTCTGTATAATACGATTTATAGGCTTTGATACTTCAGAATGGTATTTAACATATTTAGCCATCAACAAATATTGTGTTTCCTGCTATTTGAATATGCAATATCGATAAAAATACTATTAATTGTGCAGCCCTACCCACAGTTCACTATGTTTAAAGATAGAATCGACATTTAATTATTAGAGAAGAAGGTACTAGTGCAACTGTAAGAAGAAAGCACAGCCATTTTCTGCAACAACAAAAAAACATTATTCAAAGCTGTCGTCCAAGTATGTCATAAAAGTGGCATTTACATTAGTGTTGCAGTGGATATACGGTATGATTACATACTGATGACTACTCTCTGAAAGGTAAAAAGGTCAAGGAGGCAGTCAGGTTCTACCATAAAGATAAATAAGCTCTGATGCACTCGCTCTTCAAATGGACCGCCTGCTGTGAGCTGCTGCAGACAATGGAGATAATATGTAAGTTGTCATCTTGTGCGTGAAGGGGCAAGTAGTCATTAAGGTGCAAATATGAGCTGAATTACAATGTTTCATTCTCGCCGGTGATGTGATGCCTGGTGCGAGGCCTGATCTGATGCGAGCAGCGTACCGACTCCATGGGTGTTCCTCCACACACGCCGTCGCTTTCTTTGACATTTTGTTCGGAGATTGAGACGCATCAGCCGTACACGATCCTTAAGAAAAAAGCTTGGAGCATTATTTTAAGTCAGATGCACGTCTCATTCCGAAAGGTCTCTGATTCTCTGGAAATGGTATCATTTACATAACAATTTGCCCCCACAACCTGATGCATTCTACATGGTAATTACTCCTATATTAAACATTTTTGTACAAGCTCAGTGAACTACCATGTTTGCATTTGTATCCCTCATGTCAGACATAAGCTCGTTAGGAAATATTGAGTGAAAGCCTATGTGCGCCCCCCCATCCCGGCACGATCAATTATGTTTCTATGGAGGAAGCCTCCCACATGCACTCTGCAGAGCATCATTGTGCTCCCTAAAAGTCCTCGTCTGTGTTGAAGTATCCCTGTCATTGCCAAGCGTGCCTTTCAATGGCTCAGCCCCCACACTAACCTTGCAGCATTTCAAAGGGAGTCCAAAGGGAGGCTGAGTGAACGTGGACATGCGTAGGCGTGTGAGCAACAAAGGGGGAGGTTGAGAGGGCCGAGGTAACCAATGACAGCTTTGTTCACGGCAGGAGAAGGTTCATTGCCACTCTTTACACAAAGCGAAATCACTATTAAGTTTTTCTTTCTAAGATTATATTTCTTCATTACTGTAGTGTTTCTCTCTCTGGAAGAATGTGTTGCAGCAGTTTGAAAAAAATATCTGTTGGTGACAGACTGAGATGTTGTGTTAGCGAAGTGTTAAAAATCACAGCTGCAGAGCGCGGTGATACAGTAAGCTCTCGCAGTATGTTGGGAAGCAGCAGCTAGTTATCATGAAAAGATGTTAGCAGAGTTGAGCACCAAAAACAAGGGATTTCAACTTTATTTCAAAATGCTGATTCTCCCAAAAACACAGTGTTTCAGTTCAATGGAGCTGTGTGCTGAAGTGACATTTCTACACTCATAGAGCCTTGAAAATGATTTAGTAAGTTAAACAGGACGAGACCACTTGATTATTCTGTTAGACAAAATGAAAGCAGCATAATATTTGACATTTACAAGTATCACCCTGGTGAACATTCATTAAAAGGGTTATTAAAAAAAACTAGGCACCATCTGGAAATTTAATGACTGAAGTTCCTTCCAATATATTGTATTCACTGTATACACTGCATTCAATGGCCTATCAATTCTGCACCAATGAGTTCCCTTTGTTTCAAAAACCCACTGACTGCTTTTGTTGCTGGCACCAGTCTCAGCAGTAGCAGTGGTATCCTAGATTTCCCAGAACAGGTTTTGAAAAAAAGTCATACGCCACGCAGACACAGATCCCCCCCCCACCCCCAACACCCCCTAGTGATCATTGTGAAGCTAACAATCCATTCTTCACCAGCTTTGTCTACATGGATTCAGGAGAACTGAAAGAAAGTCTCCAGATACAGCTACACTTGTCTGAGGAGCACAAATGATGAAGAGACAGTACATATCTCTGCTGGTATATTCACACAAATTGACACACACACACACACAAATGAATTGGATTTCAGCTCTGAAACGTTCTTTTCTCGCATTTAAAAAAAAAGATGATATGAGAATGACCTGGCGACACACTTTGTGCTCGGCTCTTTGAGGTTTAGAAACGGATATCATTAGAGGCTCTTCTCAGGGTAACATTTAGATTTTTCAATTACCTTTCTGCCATGCAATTCCCTCTAACAAACAATATTATTCACGGGAAAATGTAACTTTAATGAGTACTGCACTGCGCCAAAGGAGACAAATCAGGCATTTTACCTTCACTGTGTACTAGTGGAACTCCACAACTTTAGTATGCTATTATCCACTTAGATTGCTATGGTGACAGAGCCAAATTACAACATGCACAGAAGGAGTTGACAATAAATAGTTTGTGTCTGCACACATTTGTCACGATGCTGCAGCTTTAACCGGCTGTCCTGCGTGAACGACACTAAGTAATACAGAACACTGGGAAATAAAGGACCTGTGTTTACTAACTGTCATTTATGTAGTTTAATTGCCATAATTGTTGTAGGTACTTTTTCAATTACATTTTTTTATAGGTAAATATCATTAGTTTTAATATATATGTATATTAAATGTTTTTTCAGCCTCCCAATTTCAAACATGCTGTTTAATGCTATAAACACATAGCTACAACTATTTTTTTGTATTGTTTTCTCATTACATACTTGTTAACACAGTTTGCCTATCGATTTAAAACAAATTAATTAGTGTATGAAATAAAATGAGGCACCAACTGTTTTTCTTTTCTTTTTTTATCAATCAATAAATGATAAATATTAACTCTACTCTCCTTGCATTACGGACCGCTGCTCAGAAAAATCCAGACATTATGATGATTAGTTTTCAAAAATGTTTAGACATTTAATACAAAAACGTTATTTATCTGTTTATTTTTGGGTACACGTAACAATAATGCCATGGAGTATTTAGTGTCATAGTTACCCTTTTTGTTAAGGCAGTATGGACATATTGTGGAAGCTTTATGTTCTTTGTGAATTGATGATAAGCGTGCACAAAATAGTAAAAAAAACACACACACACACACACACACACACACACACACACACACACACACACACACACACACACACACACACACACACACACACAGCACCGTTTAACTTTACTGATACATGGTTTCCTTCTTCCCCCTCACAAAAACACCTGAATGTGAAGTAAACACACCTGCTGTGTGCAGAGAGCAGGGTGTGATAAGATATAGTACTCGTCCTTTCCTTGAAACCTTATTTACTGTACTGACTTCCCCGAGCCCCGATTTTCAATTAAGCCGGTAGCAGTGCCAGGATGTACTGCCTGTGTTGTACAACAGTAATAAATAATAATGTTATCTTTGCTCTGTGATGCTAATCTGGAGTTTAAGCAATGAGTGAGTAGCTTTGTTCTGAATTCAGCGTGCTGGCCAATTCATCCTGGACCCCAGCTGATGTTTACCCAGCCTGAGCCAGCAGCTGCTCACACACTCTGCCTCTGACATGCATCTGTCACAGCGGCAAGGAAAATAAATCTAAGCCACTCTGTTTCCCCTCCCTCCTCTGTTCAGTATCTGCCTGGCTGCCCAGCACCACCACCATGACCGAGGGTCGGAGGGAAGCACTGGCGGCGCCGGCGCCTGACTCGACCACCGCCTCCATAGCCGGCTCCAACATGACCAGCCCGGGCACCGGGGAGAAGGACGAGGACTTCTCCAAGCTGAAGGACAAGTTCATGAATGAGCTGAAAAAAATCCCATGTAAGTGTGACTAACTTCTCTAGGATAATTGTGATGCGGAAACAAGTTAAGAAGCAACTTCTTTGACCATTGATTTTGTATAAATGCCCCAAGAAATACCGGTACTCAACACATGACTGGAGTGCAACATTTGTTTAACTTTTGTTTAAAGACATAATGAAAATAACATGAAGAGATGCAAAATTACACTAGTTTTAACTTAGATTCATTCAATGAATTATTCATTGGTGATAATACGTTTAGTGTTACATAAACTTGAGCAACACACTATAAAGACTGCTTAAAATAGTCTTGCAACACTAGTGAATGAATTATACAATAACTGTAATATTGATCAAATACTATCCAGTAAAAAAAAAAAACCTTGACTCAATTTTATTTCTGTTCATTTAAAAAGAGGGCTGCAAGAAAGTGACCTTTGTCAGTTCAAAGTCAAGTCAAAGTCAACTATATTGTCAATCTTCCAGTTTGTGTGTGAGTTATGACGATTTACCAACTGCAGCACTGAGTCCCATTAAGAATGCATTGAGGATTATATCTGACAATTTTGCCACCTGTTCAAAAACTATGGCTCCAATTAAAATAAAAAAAACAGACCGTGAGCATCAGGGAACCCCAATGAACTGATACATGTTTTTTTGGGGGGTTTTGTGTGGTAAATGTGAAGAGGAGAGCAGTTTGTCTAAAGTGTACTTCTCTCTGTTCTGAAGAAAGATCCGGAACAATTTGACATGGGAATCAATTGGGAGCTAGCTGGACTTTTTGTCTCTTCATGCCCTCAAGAGGCATTTTGTTTAATATTTTTTCTTAATTTTTATTTTATTTTCCAACCTAGGAGAGGTTTTCCTACGTTTTTCAGGAAAAATATGTCTGAGGAGTGTAGGGTTTGGGAATTATGGCAAGTTTAAAACATTTTTGGGGGAGAATTTCAAGCAATGCTGCACTCTGTTTTGAGATCCAAACACTCTAGACTTAACAAGCTGTTATGTTTTGAAAAAGTTTAAAGTTTCCCATCAATTGCTGAAAAGGCTGAATAGTTTAATATTTGAATGGTTTCTGTAGCTGAAAGTAAGCTGAAGTTATGGAGAGCTAAAGTATTGGCTGATTTGAAGGTTCTTCCCATTGACTTCCATGTTAAAAAAAGAGTTTAAAAAGCTGAATATTTTAAAAAAGCATGAAATATTTTGAAAAAGTTGAAGGTTTCCCATCGATTCCTGAACAGGCTGAATAGTTTAATATTTGAATGGTTTCTGTAGCTGAAAATAAGCTGAAGTTATGGAGTGCCAAAGTATTGGCTGAAATAATTTGTTTAAGAATAAGAAAATAAGTGAACTGCATCTGCCAAGTTGAAGCTGGAGTCAACAAAATACATGTAATATTTCACGCATTTGATGCAATAATAATAATGATGCATAACTGGCTTTATCAATTGCTGTGAGATGATTTATATGATGTCTACTATGTTCCACATCATATATATCAATCAAATACTTCCACAACTGTATATGTGTGCATGGATCATTTGAACAGTACTTAGTATATGAGAATATGGTTCATTCAGGATAGAGCACTGCCTGGAGATAAAAGACTATCAGCATTCCGCCAAAATCTATACATAAATATATTCAGATGCCGATGGAAGTGATTTTCACAACAGGAAGTTGCACCTGTGGAAGAGAAACCCTATTTCGTTAGCCAAAATGCAAATGATAACATGTTCCATGGTCATGTTCTTTTTTCCAGATGTGTAATAGTGGCATAAAAAATCCCCCTTGCATAAAGTAAGATTTATTTGAATTTGGTTGATATTTACAAAATAAAACATCTAGTTTATAGCCAGACAACTTAATCTTCCATATGGATTTCACCAATCCGAGCACATTTTCTTTTGAAAGACTGAATAAAAAAGATCAACAATGTTAGGTATTGTGATTCAGATACAGGGCTTCTAAGGTTGACGTGTCCTTTACCTCTCTATTGCAGATGTTTTGATACTCCCACCATATCTAGCAAGGCCTGACATCCCTTTTCAAATCATCTGAAGTATTGACATTGCAATCTGGAGAAGAAAAACATAATGCGGTCTTCTTTTGTGTACCCTAGGCTGAAAAGTCATCCGAGAGCACCCCAATGAATATCTGTTTGTTACACAGGCTCCTAAATTACTGTTTTCTCACCTCATCCACTCGATCAGAGGCAGTGTTTGCTCCCCAGTGCTGCCAAGTTAATAATGAATGCCCAAAGACTTGTTTACTCCGTGGAATATCGATACTGTCTGGAGAAAGTCAGGCAGCAGATTTAACGAGGAATATGAAAGAGGAGACGCTGCATGCTCAGCCGATGCTCCTGCTGGAGGTTTTCTGCTGGGCTTATAACCCAGTTTAAGCCCTGCAGGCTTTGAGGTTGGACGCAAAAGCCTCTCTGACTAGACTTAGTTTTTCCTGAATTTCTGTCCATCAGGATCTACAGGACATATCTCTGAGCCGGGGATATAGCCTCGGCCTTCGTCAGAAAACCAGCAGACTTTATCTCAGCCTTCCCGCTCTAACTGTCTGCCTTCTTTCATTTTTCGCTATAAACAGTCCCAAAGATAAAGTTTGGTGAACTCATGAAAATAGTTTTTTTGCTAGGGTTTAAATATCCTATTCGATGAGCTGCAGGTCTGCAAATAACAATTATTCACTTTTCTGTTAAGAATTTCTCAATTAATCTGTTCATTGATATAATTGTCTATGAAATGTCTGAAAATAATGAAAGACGGCCGTCATAAGTTCCTCGAGCTTGAGCTACCTTTTTCAAATTGCTTATTTTCTTTTCGACCACAGTAAAAAACTGTATTATGTTCAAATAAGAAAGTCACTAAATAAAATAGCTCCGGCAGAAAAATAGATAATGCACCCACGATGGGAACCAGATTCAAACATAATAATTGTAATATGATTGTGTTGCTTAAAAACAATCATTCCGTCTGCAAAAATGTTGGAGTTGTCTAATCAATTTGTGAATGATAAAGCCATCCAAGTCCATAGGAACATGAGCACACACACACACACACACACACACACACACACACACACACACACCTAGGTCCGACTGTGTAATCACACTAAACCATTTGGTTTCATCTCTTTGAGCGGAGAGCTTGCCTCTGAGGGAACCAGCGTATTGAATTTCTTAGTAAGTTTTCTAAACACCCAAGGCTTTACTTCCCGATAACAATTAACCTCTGAGCACAGAAGCTGTTTGATCCATGACTGCTGGCTCCACCAGCCATTACTGCAAATAACACACACAAGCATTGACATTTAAGGGAAATAAATATTGGAGTTTCTTTTTTCAGGGGCTTTGTGGTCTCAGGCAGCCAAAGGTAATGAAACATTAAAGAAGCTGTAAATACACTGAACAAAAATATAAATGCAACACTTTTGTTTTTGCTCCCATTTTTCATGCGATGAACTCAAAGATCTAAAACATTTTCTATATACACAA